ATGAGGGTAGCCCCATGTAGAGCACATTACAGAAATCCAGACGGGAGGCTACCAGGGTGTGCACCCCAGTCTCAAGGTCCCTTACTTCCAAGAAAGGACACAGCTGGTGAATCCTTTTTCTTAGTGTTGCCAGGTTTTCAAAAAATAGCAATAAATGAAGTTGAGTTCATGACATGCAGGGGTGACTACCAGGAAATAGTTACTAACTACTAGTAGCTACTAGCTTGTATTCGACTAAAATATGAAATGAACATATTGATTTCAATTAACTTAGCCATGTATTTCTCTGTACAAGTAACATTGTCCATGCTCATAAATTCATGATACACACATTCCTGTCTGTATAAAGGGCTCACACCACAAAATACAGGATTTTGGGCATCTTTTTCAGTTCATATAAAAGGAAACGCTTCCCAACTTTCAAATAGGGGGCAGTTTTTTTTATAATAAGGGATACCTGCCAGAGTCAGTGTGGTGTAGTGGTTTGAATGCTGGACTATGATTCCAAAGTCCAGTGATTGATTCCCAGCTTGGCCATAAAACCCACTGGCCAACCTTGGACAAGCCGCATGCTCTCAGCCTCAGGGAAAGGCAATGGCAAATCTCCTGTGAACAAATATTGCCAAGAAAATCCCACAATAGGGTCACTTTAGGGTTTCCATAAATTGAAAAAGACTTGAAAGCACATAACTGTCAAACACACAACAGCCCTATAAGGGGCAAGCTTTCCAGCCCTCAAATAAGAGATATCACTTATAATAAGGGACATCTGGCAACCCTATTCTCCTTGGAGCTGTGATTTGGTTAGTTAAAAAGCAGAAACTGCAGGCCTTAGGGGTCAGGACAGAAAAAGAGGTTTCATTTCACACACACACACATTTGTTCATGTCCTATACTAGAAAAATGTTGCCACCCTCTGGCCAACTGAACAGAACTGTCATCCTGTGTAGTATAAAAATAAAATTATAGAGCACGATGGAAGGGCGAGAGGAGACTAATCCCTCTTCACTGTTTTTGCATTTACTTTTATAATTATATATATTTTTATAGTAGTGTAATTCACTTTGAACAATGTAAAGCAGCTTACTCTAACTATATGCCCTCCAGATGTGTTGAACAGTAGTTCCCATCATCTCCTGGGTAATAGTCTGATACAGCTAGATGATGCCAGATTGGGGAAGGCTGATGCTAAGTAACCTTTAAGGAAAAAAAAACATTATGCTAGAATGAGCTTTTGCAAGAGAGACTGCAAGATTTTGGAAGATTTAAACAATGAAAGAAAAGAGGGCAGAAAAAGATGGATGGATGAATGGACGGACAGACAGACAGGTAGATTATAGATCTAAATGAGACCATGAACTCTGTAAGGCAGTGGGGTGAAACTTAACATGTCTACATACTTTGAAAAATAGATTTTAAAATTTTAAGCAGGCCTTCCTATTTCTATCTTGGGCACATGTTCTTTACAGCTATAAAAACCCAAGGAAATGAGTCTGATGAACTATGGCCCCGTGCTGGTGGCTGGGCAACCTGGACAGATGCCCAGAATATTGCCAGTAATTAAGAGACTCCTAATGAGGTTGATGGCACTTAATTTCCAGGGAGGGAAATGATGCTAGCCCTGGACCTAGGAGATGTTTGGTGTAAATTTAACCCAGCTGCTTCTACACACTAGAAATGTAAAGAATATTTGCAAATTTTCTGATTCTTAAAAGTATAGGAAAAGATGTCAAGACTTCCCTTCAAAAAAAGGTGTCAACCACTGTGCAATTATTATTATTATTATTATTATTATTATTATTATTATTATTATTTATAAAACAGGCTACACAGAGGTACCTGCCTCAGAAAGGACAAGTGTAGGCCTCCCCAGCCATCCACTCATATGATTTCTTTTATTTCTACTTTCTAGGAAGAGGTGAATGTGAGGCTGGAGATATTAGTCCTATCTAACTGTAAAAGTAAGTCATGACTATCTGGATTGGAATTATAGTGATATATGTTGTTGTTTCTGTCTTATGGCAACCTTAAGGCGGCCCTATAATGGGGTTTTCTTCCCTTGAGGCTGAGAGCATATGACTTGCCCAAGGTCACCCAGTGAGTTTCATGACCGAGAGGGAAATCAAACCCTTCAAGCCACTATGCCACACTGGCTCTCTGTGATATTTTATTTATTTACTTCAATGATTTATACCCCACCTTTCTCTGACAGTGGGATTCAAAATGTACCCTTGCCAATACACACACATACTATATAGTTGAGTCAGAAAGCAGAACACTGGTGATCTCTTGCCCAGAATCCAAACAAATTTCAAACTAGGTCCACTGGTGAGATTCCTTTTTCTTGCATCAACTAACCATACACGTTGAACGACATCATGACATTCCATTGTACTTTTCCCTGAGCTTGCCTTCTGTGTTACATCAGTTGCTGGCAAAGATGCACACATGATATCGTATGTGTTATGTGATATTAGCTCTCCAAGAGAGCAGCTAGATGAAAAGCTAAAAGCAAGAGTGGTTCTTTCTTTCTAACCACTTCAGTTTTTGTTTTGAATCCCACCTGAAAATACAGATCCAATCACCCTGCTTCCAAATGTACCCAGTTAACTCCAGCTGCCCTGGGATTAACTCTGTGCACAGTGTAGAGTTATAGTCTCACAACAACAGTCTCTCTCCAGAAGTGAGACTGTAATTATTGTGCACAGTCAATGCTACCAAGCATACTGAACAGAAGAATCACTGTCACAAAATAGGTACAAGACAGAAAGATTCCAAGGCATTTGCTTTAAAGACGGTTTGCCCTTTCAGTCTTGGGTCAGTTCCTGTAGCCAACTGTCCTTCCCCTATAGACAGTTCTGTCAATGGACTGCTAGATACCATAGAACCAGTGAAAACAAATCTTTTTTTTCTTTATTTTTCACTTATTTTTAAAATCTTCTGAAAAGAAGTAACATGTACTGCAAATATGGTAATGATGGAAGGATTATTTATGTTGGCTGTAAACATGAAAGAAAGAAAGAAAGAAAGAAAGAAAGAAAGAAAGAAAGAAAGAAAGAAAGAAAACAAATGTTACCCACAGTGTTCAAACCAATGCTTACTGTGCTGTGTGCTTGGCCAGTAAAAATTTCACAATGATCACCCCCAGGATAATTTCTCTAATGTATCTTCGATTTCTTGTGCCTTATAAACCACTGCATCTTTATCTTAGCCTAAAACAGCCAGCAAAAGAATTAAATTAGAGAAGACAAATATTGCTGTTATGATTACTTTGGAATGGTTCACTGCTCCAATAATTAAGGAGAAAAAATAAGGAGATTCTTTATGAAACCCATAACTGCACCTCCATCTTATCCACCATGTTAGCCAGAGTGGTGTAGTAGTTTGAATATTAGATGACTCTGGAGTTCAGGGTTCAATTCCCCGCTTGGCCATGGAAACCCTCTGGGTGACCTCGGCCAAGTCGCATACTCTCAGTCACAGAAAACCCCATGATAGGTTCACCTTAGAGTCATCATAAGTTGGAAATGACTTTAAGGTAAAAAAAAAGAATATGTGCTATTGCAGCTAGTAGTAATACCCTTTGCATTAACAGTAAAAGTTAAAGATAAAGGTATTCCCTGTTGACAAGGTTGTCAAGTCGTGTCCACTCATCAGGCACTGTTCCGGGAACCAGGTTCCCATAACCTGTGAAGAAGATAGAAAGAAAATAATCACAACATTTGCTATACCTCTCTAAATAACTATATCAGATTTATGCCCACACATGTTTGATGGCCAATTTCTATTTTATACATCATATTCTTCTGTAGTGGGAGATTGACTCCTACCTGTAGTGGGAGTTTGATTTGTTACTTGTTTAAATCAAAGAGAGAAAAAATTCTTTACTTTGGCAAGTTCATGTTTTATCTTTATATGGCAAGCACTTTGAAGCTTCTGTGAATGTGTTTAAAAAACCCAAAAATTAAACATGCAAAAATTATGTTTTTTTCCCATTCTGCCTGTCTAGATAATTAATCATATAAAAGGTACATGTAAAAATGGGTGTTGGTTGAATATATGGCTTTTTAAATGCACTTTTCAATATCCCAGTCTGTTTTGACGTTGATTTGTCATGAGTACTTTGTACCATCAGTCATGCATGATTCATCTTTTTACTGGAAATGTTGTGGAAAGGAAAGTTTCCCAGAAAAAAGAAAAAGAAAAAGAACAGTTCACCTTACCTATGGTGGTGACAACAGTTCCTGCAAAGAAAAAGCTATTGCTGAAATCCCAATTGTTGGGATTGGTAGAGTTTCCTTCAGGGTTGACACCTTTCTCCCAGGCCTCCATAATGACCTGAAGAAGAAACATCATTGAAGGGAAAGAGGGATTCTGCCTGTGTTGGATAGGATTACACTTTTCTTGAATGCACACATTCACAAGTTTACTTGAATTCCTAGTTTTGATCCTGAACTTGGATGGCCAGCTCCCATGGTGGTGAAGAGTATGTCTGTGTAGTTAGGCTTAGTGCCCCAACTGTCCCAATTCCTGAAGGTGTCAGATCTGGTCATGCTGGCATATACCTAGCTACATCCCATTTGGGCTACTGTAACATGTTATATGTTAGATTTCTATGTTGGCATTAGTTACATTCTGATTGCTGTAGTTACATCCTGTTTGGATTAAA